GCCTCGCTCTGCAGATCTGCAGCCAGAGGAACTCCTTTCCTGCCGAGGTGTTCAAACCCCTTCGTGCTTGGCTCCCTGCCCTCCTCTTCCTTGGTATTTACCACTGTCTGGCTCAGGCAGACCTGCTGGGAGGTCCCCAGCCTGGGCTTCAGCCTCCCGTGAGCCAAGTGCTAGGGCATTTCCCCGATCCCTTGCTTTTAGTTTTTCAGTGTCACAGTCACTTCTTTTGGTACTGGGCATTGAACCCAGGCTCTTTGTATTGAGCTACAACCCCAGCACTTTTAGTGTGTGTGTGTGTGTGTGTGTGTGTGACACACAGGGCCTTGCTAGGTCACTAAGTTCCTCAGCCTCTCCGAGTGCTGGGATTACAGGTGAGTGCCACCACATTCAGCACAGTCACCATTGTCCTGGCCCGAGCTGACTGTTAAGGAAGGTGCCACTGATGCCCTGGAGGGAAATATTTGTTGTCTGGGGATAGAAGAGATGGGTTTCTGTTTCCCAAACCCCACTAAGACAGAGGAAGTTACTGATCTGGCTCGATGCACAGTGCAAATCCACTTCCTGCTCACTCTGCTGAGGCAGAGGGAGGGGAGGTCCTGAGGGGTGTGTGGAGGGAGCTGCCGGGAATGACCACTCCTGACCCTGCTCAAGTTTCCTTTCTGCTCAGACTGTATCTCTGTCCAGTAGCAAAGACAGTGCTGAGTGGTTTTATTCTGGTTTTGGTACTAAGAATTGAACCCAGGGCTTCAAACTAAGCTACACCCCTAGCTGTTTTTCTAAAATTAATTTTGAGGCAGGATCTCACCGAGTTGCTAAATTGCCCTGGCTGGGCTGAAACTCTTGATCTGCCTGCCTCAGCCTCCCAGAACCTCCGTGACTGGGGTTACAGTCATGTGACCCCCTCTCTCACACATACCCTGAGCTTTTCCTTTTACCACCGAGCAGGAGGGGAAGTGCCCTGGCCCCTGAGTGGCCCTGGACTCAGTGCTGCTGTGTGGTACTTCTGTTGCTTATCTTTCTAAGCACCAGTATTCCTGGGTCTCCCTGGGCTGCTCGCTGGCTCAGGTTGCAAGCTAGCGATTTCCGTTGGTTCCTGATCTCTCCTTACAGCTATGCTGTAACTGCTGATTTTGGCGAATACCCAGATGTGGCTTGAGCACTTCATACTTCTCATCTGCTGCCTCCCCAGTGCTCTCCAACACTTTTAGCTCTTTTCCTCTGTAACATGACATCAGCACTGTGGGTCTGTCCAGCATTTGGGTCCAGGAGGAGCTGGGGTATGGAAGGAAGAGGCTGTTGCAGATGGGGCCGCCAGGCTGAGCCGCCCTTGCTCATCAGCATGGCAGCAAGATTCCTTCACAGAAGTGACCTTGGAGCAGACCCTTTCCTTCTGGCTCTTTAGAACCCACTGCTGGAGGAGTTAGCCTCTGGTTAGTATCCAGGACTGGAGGGGCCAGGGATCTGCTTCTGCCTGTGACAGAAAGGTGCAGTATTAGAGACCAGCTGTCTTCCAGTAGGAGGACTGTGGGCACCAAGAAAGTTCTAGACTCTACTTCTGGAATCTGGCACACACAGACTTGTCTACCCAGGCTCTCAGAGAATTTGTGACTTACATCAGTAAAAAATCAGAAATCCTCTAAATGGCTATCAACAAATGGACAGTCAAACAGTATAACAATCCATATAATGAAATATGATAGCCAATATTAAAATCATGCTGTGGATGGACCGGGGATTTAGCTCACTGGTTTCACTGCCTGCTGTGCAAGTGCAAGCACCTGAGTTCGATCCCTGGTACCAAAAAAACAAAAACCAAATAAAATCATGCTGTGGAAAAAGATTAAATACCTAGGGAAATGCTATGAAATGGCTCAGTTGACCAATCAGAGCATAAAGCAACTTATATATGTGGATGTGTGCTGTACACATGGATATTTGCATGTGACTCAAAAAATATTTACTTATGTGGGGGAAAAGAACAGCTGAGAGGAAGTTCTCTAGATTGGGTATCTCTGAATCATGAATCATGAATCATGTTGTGTAATTTGTTATCTTCTTCTGCAATTTCAAAGTTATTCAAAATAAGTATTACCTGGTTATAAATGCAAAGGCCCACATGAATTTTGCAAAAGTATATACTGAGTTTTCTGAAACATGAGGGTAACCAGACGCTGTTGAAATTTGTGAAACCAGAGAGATGTGAAAGTTAGAAAAATGTCACTGGGAGCTCTTTTTCCAGAAGCAGAAAGGTCAGGAACGATACAGATCTCATCAGTGTTTTCTGCCTTAATTAAGTAAAAAGCGACAGGCGAGGCTTCCAGTTACAGGACGGATTGACTTCTGGGCTGTGGATCGAGTGCTTCCTGGGCGACCCCGAATCGTCTGTGCATGCAGTTTGTGGAGCAGCCGGGGCCCCGCTGGGTGACAGGGCCCGAAGCCCCCTCTGCATGGCCTTTGTGTGGCGAGGTGTGGGTTTGGGACAATGAGAAATTGTGCCTGGATGATAGCAATGGCCTGAATGAAGTCAGTCTGGGAAATTTCTGGCTGAAATTCTTTTATTTTTGGTTCTTTAGAAATAGAACTATACAAAAGGGGTTAGAAACCACTCCTCGTGTGCTTTATTACAATTATAAAATACTTCATGTTCTCAAAGTGCAACAGGAATATCAAACAGTAATGAAATCAGCCTGATGAGGCCACCCAGCCCCAGAAGAGAAAATGGTAGAGTGGACTTCTGACCTTTCTTCTTTTTTTTTTTTTTTTTTGTGGCACTGGTGATTTAACCTCGGACCTTTGCACTGAGCTACATCCCCGGCCCTCTAAAGAATTTTTTTAAAAAATATTTGAGACAGGGTCTCACTAAGTCATTAAGTCATCCAGGCTGGGTTGAGTTTGTGATCCTCCTGCCTCAGCTTCCCAGAGTGCTGGGATAACAGACATGTGCCACCACGCCTGGCTTCTTTCCCCATTCCTAATTTGCCTCCATCATGGTGAGTCTGTGGGTTGTGCAGCAGGTGCTGCTGTGAGCTGTGTGTTGTCAGTCCCTGTGGCTTTGGCTTTCCAAGTAGTGGGACCTCTGCTTTCTTTGAACACTGCCCTTCGGAGGGTCAGTGGTGACTCTAAGACATTATAGCAATTTAGAAAACTGTGTTAAGGGTCAAAGAGCCGATCTTGTACAGATGAACAGTGATCGCTGCAGCTTAACATGTTCGGCAGTAAGCATTTATTGAGGACCTACAGTGAACGGGCTACCGCTTTTGACACCAGATAAAACAAGATGGACACAGCATGGCAGGTGTGAGGAAAATACTTGCATCAGCAACCAAGCTTTATCTTTATGCTTCCCATATCTCCTTATTTAATGCAACACCAATGAGGGGTTTTCCCCTGTAGTTTTCTTTCATCCGTACAAGATGGCTGAGGAAAGGAAGCACAGGCTGCTCAGTGAGGGAGGACGTGGTAACCGTGAGCCCTCTGCAGGGCAGCAGAAAGCATCTGGCTCGCTGACTCATCCCGAGGCCCTTCTAGGTTTGCAGTAGTGACGGACGGGATGGAGGGCTCAGCTAGTGGTCTGAGCCAGGCTGAGCTGCTAAAAGCACGGTTACCCTTAAGCCCCTTGGGCTGGTTCATCTTCCACCTCCTCTTCGTCACGCTGAAGTCAAGCTGAGCGCTGCCCACCTCTTTCCCCGCTGCTTTGTCCTCCCCTGGCTGACAGACAGCACAGCACCCTGATTTCCACTCACCCACTGACCAGAGTCATTTTGTCTGTGCCACATGTGAATGTTTGTATGAGAAAGAAAGGGCAAGTGGAAATATTTTCCTTAAGATTCCTTCCTTGTGCATTCATGATCTGAGAGGATTACTGATATTTCTCCCCATGAATGTTCACGGGGCCAACAGCATGTCTCCACGGCCTGGCCTCTTTAGGAAAGGCCATGGACCAGCATACGAAATGGCCCATTTCCAACCATTAGGGGTGAAAGAGTATTTGTAAGTTCATGTGAGAAGCTTGTTGCTTTTAAACACGTGTCCTTCAGTGAGAGTGGCTATGTATGGTGGCGTACTTTATTGTGTCTACATAATTATTTTCTTTTCAGAAAGCCCATGGTCTGGAGGATACATTTACGGTGGCCCTTCCATCAGTGGACAGGCTGAGCAGCCTCCAGGGGAGCACCCTTCCCAGGGGGAAGCTGTGTTTTGCTCCAGTTGTGCCTACTGTTCCCAGAGCCCCACTCTGCCATTTTGGTTACCATCCTATTCTAACCCTGTGGCCCTGACCTCTGGCCATAAGTCTTCCAGAAGAAGCCACGAGGACTTTTTAAATGTGAATGTGTTTGGCTCTCAGGACACAGACTTCTCTGTGTTGGAAAGGCCCATTAGGCAGAATGTATTTATTTATTTTTTTGGTACTGGCAATTTAACTTGGGTCCTTGTGGTTGCGCAGCAGGCAGCAAAACCACTGAGCCAAATCCCTGGCCCAAAACTTTTTTTTTTTTTTTTTCTTGGGTCCTTGTGGTTGCGCAGCAGGCAGCAAAACCACTGAGCCAAATCCCTGGCCCAAAACTTTTTTTTTTTTTTTTTGGTACCGGGGATTGAACTCAGGACCTTGCACTTTCGAGGCAGGTGCTGGAACCACTGAGCTAAATCTCTGGCTCTCGGAATGTATTTATGGATGTAGAGCTCGTCAGGGGAAGGCCAAGGTGGCCAGAATCTCCTGTTGATGCTCACATGAGCCCAAAAGTATGGATCCTGCAGCATCTGGGCTCCCATGTGAGTTTCTGCTTTGCCTTTTCAATCTGGTTGAAGCTGGAGAGGAGAGTTATTTCTAAGTGTCTCTCCTAAACTCCAGCTTTTTACTATTCAGAGAACCTTGGTCAAATTTTCATGTACAATTGATCTCTGAATCTCAGGCACGTTCTTGGCTGAATTGAGTGCCCATTACTAGGAATCCATCATTATTTTTGTGTTGGTGATTCTGCTTCCTTCCCTGTGTTTTCCAGGTCTCACTCTCCTCTGCCTCAGTTCTTGGGCTCTAGGACTAAAGACTCCTGCTTTACAGAGAACACTCCCCTGCTGTGGAATTCCTCACAAGAGAAAGGGTGAGGTTATTTTTTCCTTGTGATCTAATTTCTTGGTTTTGTCCTTGGTATTTATGATGGAGAATTTCTTCCTGAGATATACATTTTACCTGACATCTCTAGTCTGGGCTGGATCCTTGACAGTTCCCTATAGTAGATGTTCATGATTCTAGTTTCTGTGATCTATGAATTTCAAAGTGACCTTGAGCACAGCCTTGCAAAGGTCAGCTATCACACATGCATGTTCACAGCTCTGACTGTGTCTCACCGGGTTGGGTCTCCCAGCCAGGGTCAGGTTGACAGTGTCTGGAGATATTTTTGGTTATCACACTGAGGACAGAGGTGCTACTAGCATCTAATGGCAGAGGCCAGGGCTGCTCAGCATTCTGCCATGTACAGGACAAACCCCACCACAAGGAATTATCCAGCTCCAAAGTTAACTCTGATGAAGTTGAAAAACCCTGTGTGTGGGATTCACAAGAAGACCCCACCTCATGAAAGGCTGAAGATCCTTCCTGGGACGAATCTGCATGGCTCTGGCCTTGCTTGAGCAGAGGGACGTGGCGGATAACATGCAGCCGCTCCTTCTGGGATAAAGCACTCCACCAGGTCCTTAGCTCCAGCTCCTCCTCTTTCTGCAAATAAACTCCAGGCAGCCTGCTCCCCCTGTGTGTCATAAACTCGGTGACATCGGGGAGCCTCCCTTCCTGCCCAGTGACCCCTGTCTCCAGGTGGGCTGGGTCCCCTCCCCTGCCCTGCATTCCACTTTCGCCCTCGAGGTCTGCTGTCAGGGTGCAGGTGCAGCGTCACACACTATGGGCACCTGCAGACTGTGTGGGCTCCACCCTGCAGGGACTCAGGTTCCAGGATGTGGGAATCTGGATCTGGCACTGCCCATGCAGGGAGGGGCTCTCTGACCCTCCAGGTGGAAGCTGTTGACAGACTGTGTCTGTCTGTCCAAGACCCCACTGCCTCTGACCAGTGGGACCTCCCTCCCCATCCAGCTCTCCAGAGCAGTCCTGCTCAGCCAGGGCTGTCACCTTCCTTGTGGAACTTCAGTCCTTCCTTCCCCAGGAGGCCATCCTGTGCGCTCAACTCTCAAATACCACTCTCAGGCCCGCACTTCTGCACTTGCCCGAGTGACGTGCACAGTGTGCCTGCCACTCTTCGTCTCCTCCGTCCTGCATCGCAGAGTCCAGTGTGAGCCCTGCTCCAGTCCTCAGAGCCTGGAGGATGAAGGCTACGAGCAGAGAGGTTGCCTCCCCCCTGTCTCCCAATAAATAACTGTGAAGTCACACCTCGGACATCCAGTCCCTTAATGCTTTCTCTCAAATTACTTTTAAGCTGTCAAGGCTGAGGCACTTTAGAGCTTGCAGCTCACTGGAGAACCAGTAGCACGTGTGTCTTTGCCCTGGGCACGGGGGCAGCAGTGGGGCTCATGTTGGGGCAGTGGCAGAGGTCCCCTTGCTTACAGCGTGTTTTCCTTTTCTTGTTTTCACGGAGTGGTGATTGTGGGAAGGTCTTTTTGCTTCACGTTTTGCAACCTAATTTTGTTGCAGTTTTGATTTGATCAGGTGATTTATTAGGATAACGTTTGTTGATTTGCATATTTTCAGAGAGAATGTATCCTTTTAAGGTGCTGAAGGCAGGAGCATGCATCTGTACCAACCAACACGGTGGCCACTCACATCACATGTAGTCAGCCAGATTTAAATTAATTTAAATGAAATAAAACTAAACATTTACTTTTTCAGTTGTAATAGCATATTTCACAGCCAATAGCTGTGTGGCTCCTGGTTGGACGGTTGGAGAATACTTTGATTCCAATGGAACGTTCTAGCGCATACCATTGCCTTAGAAAGCACTGACACTAACTGGCTTTCTTTTTTTCTACCTACAAAAGAGCCATTTCTTAGTTCCAGTTTTCATTATTGTGGTGTTTTTCCAGCAGTGAGGAGGAAGGTGATGCTGTTTTTCAGAGACCTAAACATTTTCTTGTTGCAGATTTTTTTTTCTTGTTGCAAAATTGATGGGCAAGATTATTGACTATTTTCAGAGTCATTTGTTATCTTGCTTCATATTGATTTTGCAAAACCTAATTTCTGTCTCTGGGCTTCTCCTTATGAATAAGATCTTTCTCTTCCTGTGATAAGAATTCAGGAGAATCACAACCCACTGTTGTGCTAGCTGGGTTCAAGTAGGACCACTGTTTCTAACATGTAGCAGCATAGTGCAGCTGTGGTTAACATCAGTATCGTGACCACACTACTATTGGCTGAAAAATCCTGGCTTTGGCCCAAGCTTTTGAGAGTCACGTGTACCAATATGCAGGGCATTGCGCAGGAGCCCAGGAATTCACCGTGGGCTGAATGTAAGCCAAAACGTCCAGATGTAGTTCTGATGAAAGTTTATGTGCCCCTTGATTCGTGCTTCTAAACACAGGCCCTGTCCATAGGCCCCTCCAGCCCAGCTCTGGTTTTCCTCATTCCTGCTCATGGTCCTGGTCCACGACAGAAAGATCTACACAGAGAAGGAAAGCTCACACCACTCGCGCTGGTTGGTGTTGACAGCTGGAGCGCATTCGAAGGGAGGCAGATACTGAAATGAGTGGGAGCTAATTAACCTGCACCAGAAACAGCTGTATTGAAAGATTTCCAAAATTAGAAAGGACAGATGTTTCTTGAAGGCTCACAGTTCATTTTGAAGGCTTGGGTGACCCGTGGAGATTTCCTTTAGGTCAAGTGTTCCGTGACACCAAGAAAAATCCACTCCCATCAGGGAGACAGTGCCACAGCCTCAGTGGTCCTTCAGAGGGCAGCACTGATTCCATGGTGGCTCACACCTCACAACCGAGAGGAATCTTGCTCTGTCGAAGCTATTTTACAAGAAATAACCAAAGAGCTCTTATCTTCCAGGTCACATTGCATGCCTGCTTACCATCCAGAGTTCATGCCCGAAGAAGAGTCCTGGGAAAACAGCTTGGCTGAGTGGGAGCCAAGATGCACGCTGACCGGAGAGGGGGCTGGTTGGTCTACACCTGCCTCCTCACACAAGGAGGAGCCCACAGAGGGCACTCACCTCAGGGTCCCTGTGCTGAAGCTGAAGTAGGTGGATCCAGGTGCCAGCTCTGGTGGTGGGTGGCGGCCACACGTTGCTTCCTGTTTGCAATGGGATGAGGCCCAGGGTGCCCACATTTCAGCCTTCCAAACACGGGGTGAAGAGGGCCATGAAGGTTCTCACAACTGGCCAGGCTGCCATTCCCTAGGCCTCGAGAGTCATTTAAGGTGGCCCCCAAGGAGCTGCAAGGAACCTGGTTACAAACCTAAGTGAACCTATTGTCTGTTCTCTTCCTGCTTGAGAGATTGGAATGTTCATGATCATTAGGTTTGCAAACAGAATTGATTCACTTCAGGTGAATCACCACGGTTTCCCGTGGTTGGTGTTAGAATTCACTGTGGCCATCTTTGTAGTGAGTGGTGAAAGGTTGGTGTAGCACATGGTGTAGCCTGAGGGATGCAGGGGTCTCCTGCTCTGCGGGAACTGGAAGCCCAGGCTGAGCATACCTGGGGAAGCAAGGGCACAGGGGTGGGTGAGCCAGGATGTGCAGGGTAGGAGGGAAGGATGTGCGGGCCTGGGAGGGCTGAGTGTGTTTTCCCAGCTGGCTGGCCCACAGCTCCACTTGCTGCCCTGACCGCAACTTCCCCACAACGTGGAAAATAGAGTCCAGTACGTCTAGACTTCGCATTCATTGGCTGTTTTATTTTCTATGATCCGTGGAAGGTCTGGAACCTGCCCCAGAACTAAAGGAAGTGGTGCCATTTTTTTTATAGCATTGTAACTGGTGCAGAGTTCCCCCTCTCGATGAGTGCAGAGCCGATAAGCACAACCAGGATATGGAAGACTCAGGAGAGTTTTATCACTCGCAGCAAGCAAGGGGCACACTGAGGATAATTTCCAAAGCAGGGCTTTTGTTGGCGAAACCAGTAGGTACTCACCTAGGACTTGTCATCACAGGTGAGGGTGGGCACACACTTGAGCGTGCACAGTCTGGTGTCACACTTCTTCACACATCGCCTGTTCAGAAATGGCTGATGCGAACACGTCCGAGTGGGTAATTTAGTATTATAATGAGCAAAGCTTATTATTCTAGGTCACCTAAAGGGGGTGGCAGAGTGACTGGTTCTTTGTCAGTTTCTCTAGAGAATCTTATCTGAAACAAACAGCAATGGAGATGCAATTTGCAGTCACTAAAGGGGCAGCAGCTTTTTCCTACAAGCGTGGGTTGTTGTCCCTGAAAGTACCTTCCTGGTGGCTCACCACATATCTAGGAAGTACCAGGAATGATAGATGAAGAGGTCTGTACAAAAATTTGTGTCTAGAATAGCTCAATTAATGCTTTGTGCTTTAAAAAGAAATGTCATTTTGATTTTCATTTAAGTAGGAGCTGTTGAATCATAATTTGGAAATGTGAAATGATTGTTTGTCAAATTAAGTCTAAGAGAATGCAAAATGCAATTTTAACATTTTCAAAGGATCAGAAAGAAGGTTTTCAAAGACATGTGGAATTGAGCTGAGTGAGTAGAGTAGTGAAGAGGTGCCCCGCGCAGGCTTTCAGGCTTCGGTCTGCAAACATGCACGAGCCTGGGGCCCGTCCCAGGGCTCCTGTTTGTGCAGGGACAGCCGAAGCATTCCTGTGGCTGCCGTGGTGGTAGCTGCCAAGGGTGTGATCTTTGGGACTGGGCAGAGACGGTGTATTAGAGATGGAGTTTGGCTCCTGAAGGAGCAGAGCTGAGGGGGTGCCAGCCCTGGGGCATCCTGATGGGGTCAGAGCCCTGCAGCCCGCTCTGGAGCAGCAAGAGCCTGCGTGGAAGCGCTGCAGGGTGTAGGCTGAGCCCAGGTTCCTGCAGCACGTGGGGTGTGGTAAGGAGTGGGTCCAGCTGAGTGGGTTGGAACAGCTTTGAAGTTCTTAACAGGGCCTGAGTATGTGGTCTGTTGATTAAGTTCTCTCCTACAGAATTCTTAAAAGACCCTGATAGCAAAACCAGTGACAGGGTGGCGGTTCCTTTCTTGTACTATTTGTGTTTATATTTGACCATAACTTTATATTTCTACCTTCCAGAAAACTCAGGGAAAATAATTGATAAATATGAGTCACAGGGCCAAGATGAGGTGTTCAGTTCACCTGTTCCCCTCAACTGGAGCACCAAGGAGGCCAGTGACCAGCAGCATCGTTTTCCTCGGCTCCTCCCTGTCTCCTCCTGATGGAGCCGCAGGTTGACTGGCCAGAGCCCTCCTTCACTTCACTCGAGGGAGAGAGTGAGGGCAGTGCGCTTTGCCATGAGGGTGCCGAAGCGTCCGGAAGGGCGTGAGGTTTGGATGCGTGCAGGCTGACGCCTCTGGGACTCAGGACCATCTCCTCCTGCAGGTGCTGTGCAAGGTGGCTGAAGGTCGCCGGCCTGTTTGTCTTTGTGGTGCTATGCTCTGTGAGTACCGTGTCTGCCCTGGTGGCCACAGCTCCCGGGTGCCTGGGGCCTGTGGAGGGCTCTTAGGTGTGGGACCACCGCCGCCCTCTGCCTGGTTCCGGCCCTAGCTTTGAAGGAGATGGCAAGCTGTGTGGGGTGGTGGGCTCGGGCGGTGCTGAGGGAAGCCATCCTCTTAGTCCCAACTGGGGTTCTGGGCACAGGTAGGACGAGTGTGCTCACGGCTCCATTCCTCTTGGCTGTGACCCGTGCACAGCAAGGATGGTGCCTGATCTCAGCGGTCGCTGAACAGAGGGGAGCAGAGGCCCCTGACGGCAACCTGTGCATGAAGCGGAAAGGATCATTCTGAAATCTGAAGACACCACAGTTTCATTTTACATATTGCTGCCATGTGCCCCTGCGATTCCTACTCACACAGCCGGGAGCTTCTGGAACTCTTTCTTGGTGGGGCTGGGGTGGGGAGCTGAGACTTGGGGTGGAGGTCAGGGTGAGCCTGGCTCCCCCAGTACCGGCACTGAGAACTGGTGGGAGCTCAGCACCGCCTTCAGCCTTCCTTGGGATGAAGCGTCCTGATGTGCAGACACATCCCCAGCAGAGTCCGGGGATTTGCTGTGAACTTACGTGTGTCATCTTTTATGACTTTAATCGCTAATGGTACAGAAGGTTATTTGCCAGTCTCACAAGCGCGAGCTCCAGCCACCGGAGCGGCTGTGTCCCTCTGCTCGCCTATACGAGAAACCCACCTTTGCCCGTCTTTGACAATTCAATTTTGTGGCTGGGTATTTAATCTTTAAAACTGGCAAATATCAATAATCAAGGACCAGTGTAGTTAAATGTAGTAGGATGAAGCAGAATATTTTAATTTCTAAGAAAAATCTACTCAGACTAGGCTGGTGGAGTCAGGATGCAGAAGTCATCCTTACCATTATGTCTATTCTTAAGCAATCAAATTATTCACGTTCTGTGGCTCTCCTGTCACAAATCTATCACTGAATGTTTCCGATTGTTACAGATTTTATTCAGCCTGTATCCAGACCAAGGAAAGTCCTGGCAGCTGCTGGCCGTGTCCCCGCTGGAGAGCTACTGTATCCATCCTGTGCTCGGGCGTGCAGATAGATGCTCAGGAGCTGCAGCTGCTGTGGCTGAGGCTGACGCTTAGGCGCTGCCAGTTCTGCTGCTCATGTTGTTCTCTTCGGGCTGGTTGTGGTTAGTGGTGGAAGTCCCCGTGGAGGGGAGATGGCAGTGCAATGGCACGTCCTGGCCTTCCCACGGCTCTGCCGTAGTCTAAGCTGTGCCCCTGTGCCCTCCTCTTCCTCCTCCACTTCTGCAAGGGTCAGTCCTACTGAGCCGTCTTCAAGTTCATTGCCTCCTTCCTTGGCTCTGTCACCTGGTTGATGACTGCCTTACCTCTCCATCTGTGTTTTTTCCTCTGTTTTTGTATACCTTGGGGTTTTTGGTTAAAAGCCAGACACACTGTAGAGGATAGCAGGTACTGAGTCAACAGTCTAAGCTTGGAGATGAGCTATCCCTTAGCCTTCTGTCAGCACTACTTTGAGGTTTGTGTAAACCTAGTCAGACTTCAGCTGCATTGAAGCTTGTAGTTGCTATGGTAACTTGGTACGTCAGATATTTGGAATTCAGATCACTCTTATTTTATTTACTTGACTGTGGCCCCAAAACACAAGAATAGCAATGCTGGCAATTCAGATCTGCCCAAGAGAAGCCTTTAAATAAAAAGGCAAAAGTTCCTGACGTGCATATGTGAAGGGGTCAGTTTTACCTGAAGGTCTGGACTGTGTGACCCACAGACATGGGGGTTTACTGTACTAGCTTTAAAAAGGAATTAACTCATTCAGAGAACTAAACAACAGGGTTTTTCCCTTTCGTGTCTTCGGTTGGTTCATCTTGAAAACTGAGATTTTAGGACACTGTTGATTTCCTTGAGTTACTCATGCTCGGTTGCACAGGCTCATTTGTTAGTCCTGCCGGGGAGCGCCCTGCTCCTCAGGAACCTTCTCCCCAGCCAGGCACCCCTGACAGTGCCCGTGGCCGTCAGGCGAGCTGTGATGCCAGGGTCATGGTCCTGCGCAGTGAGGAACTGGGAGGCCTGTAGTGTTCTGCCCAGGGCACCCCAGGGCAACAGCTGGTTAGGAGGAGATTGATCCTAACACATCAGAGCCCTCAACTTATCCCGCCTGTGGCAGGGTGTCATTTTCATCCTAAAGTACCTTTGCAAAGTTCTTTGGGCCTGAGACTACAGCAGTGGCCGACCTTATGGAGCAGGGTGATGGAGGAACTCTCTCTTCTGCACGCGAGTGGCCGGGTGTTGGGATGAAGGGAGAGTGAGGCCGGGGATGGAGGAGCCAGGCAGGAGGCAGGGATGCTGTGGAGGGTCCTCCGCTCTTGGACCTCTCGCTCCGTGGGGATGAGTCCAGTTCCCCAGGGCTCCCCGGAAATGCCTGGGGGGGGTTGGGGTGGCTGGGCACAGGCACTGTGGACTCCGGATGCCCAGAGCGCGCTGAGGACCGAAGAGGGCAGGGACTCTCAGAGCAGTGGCCTTTGGTGCGGCCCAGGGGAGGGAGCCAGGGCCACTTCTGAGAGGGCAGCCGCAGCGTCTTTGTGGTTGTCACCCAAGCAGAGAGCTTCCCTGCGCTCCGGCTGCCCCTGCTGGGTGAGGGATGCTGTCTGCTGGGGTGGAAGGGCTTTTGGAGAAAGCACCACTCTCCCGATTGGCAGTAACAAAGCTACCTTTCCCTCGTGAGCCTCTGCCTCTCCTGGTAACAGTCAGGCTGTGTCAGCTCAGTAATTACAGGGTTTATTTTAGAAACCTGTAATTGCAGCACTTGAAATATTGTTGTCTGTGCTTGTTATGGGGGAGGCCTCTGTCAGGCTCCCAGACCACCTGGCAAATAAATAGGGGTCAGCAACCTTGATGTAGGTTAATTGGTGCCACTGCCCTCCCTCCTTATTCCTGCCCTCTGTCTCTCTACTTCCCTCCCTCTTTCCCTCCTCCTCCTCCTCCCCTTTCTCTTTATTTCCATCATACCCTAAGCTGAACCCGGGGCTCACAGAGAATGTAAAGCACACAGGCAGGAGAGGAAAAGACCCCTGCCCACCATACTGTCCAGCTGGAGACAAGCTAACAAATGGGAGCTTTATAATAAGGCTCCGGTTCTCACGATGATGGAGGCTGAGGAGTCTGCCCCGACGCCGGGCTCTGCATGCTGCACGCTGGGAAGCAGGCACGCAGCTGAGGGCCTGGGTGCTGGAGGCTGGTAGTGTAGACTCCAGTGAGTGAGAAAGCTGAAAACCGCATCGGGGAAGACTGATGTCCTCCCGACAGTCAGGCAGGGAGGTAGCAAATCCTCCTCCACCTGCCTGCTCTCTGTCTGGGTCCTCCGGGAGCGGGGTGGGCCCACCTGATCATCTTTACTATGAAGCAGAGCAACTCTAAGGCTAATCTCTTTCGGAGACCCCCTCACAGATACACCTGGAATTAATGCATAACCAAATATCTGAGTGTCTTGGGGTCTGGCCAAGTTGACCCCAGAATTAACTACCACAGGAGAAGAAAAGAAACTTGATTGGATACCAAGGGAGGGAGATCTTCTTGTTAAAATCAAGGCCAAGAATGAGGCCGACAGAAAGTCCTCGTCCAGAAAAGGCCTCAGTGGAGCCTGACCAAAGTCTGGGTCGGGGTGGGGGGCTCTCTGGCATGTGCTAGCGGAGCCTGGTGTTTGGCGGCTCCTAAAAGATAAGCCTTGGAGGTTGTGTGGATTGGGGGTCAGCGATCCACCCGCCCCTGCCTGGAGCAGCTCGTGGCCTGCTGTGTAGAGCTCTTGGCTGGCACCCCTCTGCTGCCACACGTAGGGCCTCCTTGACACCATCGAAGGCAGGAGGCGGTTCTGCTCCTCAGGGCACAGCCCGGAGATGAAGGGCAGCATCCTGGGGACCCAGAGGAGGCAGAGTCATGGAGGGGAGTGGAGTCAGGTCCTGGGCGATGGCTTAGATTTAGATAGTAGGGAAGGCAGGAAGATGGTGGCGAATGCTCCAGAGAGCAGAAATTTCTTTCTGACTCCTCTTCTGCAAGCTCCACCTGGCTGGGATTCTCATCTAGGTTCAGAGGACTTCACAGATGATACTGTTAGCAAATATGGATTAAACACTAGTTTGGGATATCTAACTTGGGAACAATGGCACTATCTCCAGAGAAATCAAAACATGACCCAGACATAATTCCTGCCTTCCAGGAGCTAGACCAGCTGGGAAGAAACATCCAAAACCAACCACAGGATGGCGCGAACAGACAGACAGGTTCACAGTAGAGTACATGGCATACAGCAGAGACCCCTTTGGCAGAGACACAGGGCCAAGGGCAGACTTAGCAAGAGCAGCGTACAAGTGGGGTCTTAAAAGACCCTGAGGTCCTCTAGATGTGGGGGAGTGGCCAGCTCAGCAGGGCCCTGGAGGTGGGTGTTCAGGTCCCCGTGGACAGTTCAGTGTGGTGATGGCAAGGGACAATGGAGCTGGACACCACGTGCTGGGCCTGGAAGCCACTGTGGACCCCAGATCTTCAGGATGCGCTCTGAGCCCTGAGCAGGTGGAGGCTGAGAGAAATAAGGGTGTGTGTGTGGGTGGAGCTTGCTTCCCTTTCGTGGGATGTGCACTCCAGGGGGTGGTGCGTCTCCTCACTAGGGCTTGAGACCTCAATTGTAAAGGCTTTGTCTCATTCGTTCACGTTGGTGTGACGCGGATGCTTAAATGCTGGAGAAGCCTGCTGCTCCCCTCTGGTAACCTCCAGGGGGCACTCTCCCACCTTCTGGTGTCTGACATCTCTGGAATCCATTCTGTGCTGGATGCTTCTGAGTCTGTCCTGGGGAAAAGCAGGGACAGGAATCATTTCAGGGGTGGCAGAAGCAGCAGGATCTCGTGGGCCTTTTCTCTGTAGATCCCGCCCCACACATGACTTCCCTCCTCCATTTGTCTTTTCTGGGGCCCTAGTAGCAGAGATGCATGGCTGAGTGCTGAGGACAACTGTCCATTTTGGCTCTCCCGTAGACAACAAGGACGAGAGAACACTTTCTTTACCAGGAAGATTCTGTACTTTTGGGGGTTATAAACAGTACATTTTGCAGGAGGAGCACAACAATGAGAAGAATGAACCGTTCACTGACCCTTTCCAGCACTCCAGCAGATCTGTTGCTACTTCGTCAGCAGCCATGCTCTGCCTCCCTCGAAGTCTGCTCCATAAATTCCCTACCTTTTTCAGGAATTTAAGGGAGAACAAAGGAACTGGCTGCGGAATCATGGTAAAATCTGTGAGTGAGCTGCTGCTAGATGCTGAGACCTGGTATAAAGCAGGAATAATTGTGAAATTCATTTCTTCCTACTGCAGCTTTCCTGGGTTAAAAAACCTGGGCTGGCTGCTGTGCAGTCCTCATGGTCCTTGGACAGCAGCATCCTCCCAGGACCATGCAGCAGAGGTGGGGGCCCTGAGTGTCCACCCAGAGCAAGTGAGGCTGCGGGGCACAGGCTCTGCATTTGCCCCCCACACACATGGGACCAGGCCCGCTGCAGGTTAAATGTCATGGGGACACCATGAGGTGGGAGGATCCCTCTCCTGAGCTCTTTCTGAGTCCATTGCTTCTCGACGTGCTCTGAAGGGGATTTCTGCCCCCTCCAGTAGACAGTGCTGATTTTGCCAATTTCAGGATTCTCCCTTCCAAGTCTTTCTGTGATTTCTCACCTCACAGCAGGAATTCGATGCCTTGGGATTTGGGTGTGGGTGTGGATTGGTTTGTCTTTTTACTCATGCAGGCCACTTGCAGGCTGCCTGTTGTGGGAACTTGGGTAGAAGTCTATGGCAGCTGCACAAGAGGGGGCAGAGAGGGCAGTGGGCTGGAGGAGACAGCACACAGACTGAGGGGAGGTGCTGGGCACTGCGGTGCACGGGTGGAACTGGCTGCATGCATGGGGTGCAGCCTGGGGAGACAGGCCCTGCTGAAGGTGTGGGGCTGGTGCAGGCAGCTCTGGAATGGGCGCTTCTTCGTGTACCGAGAAGGCGCGTGTCCGGGGGCCGTTTGGAGGCGGCAGGCTTTCCCTCCTTCCTCTGTGATTTACCTTGACCCACCCTCAGCTGTGAACCTCAGCGGCCACGCAGACTCTACGCTGCTCCAACTCAACCTGGCTGGGGCCCTGGCAGCGAGCGGGCCGAGTCGTTCTGGGAGAGAGGAGCATGTCGTGGTGGAGGTGACCCAGAGGAGTGCTTTGAACTCGAGGTGGCAGCAGCCTCAGCAAGTTAGTTATGTGTTATTTGAAAGCAATCGTAAAACCTCATTTCATCCCATTATAAATTGAGTTTGCTCTTGAACAGATTTGATGGCTGTAAGGCAATAATATCATTATTAGTCAAGCCACTGACACTTTGTATCATACCTTGTTGTTGAAATTCTTTTTCCCTCTGTCTAAATCATTTCTAAAACTTGCCATTTCAGTAAAATCAGACTTGTGACTTCATTCAGAACCTATTTGCTAGGGAATGCAGGGAGACATTATATATTTGAAAGTAGTTTTTGTTTCGAAGTGCAACTCCATCTGGTCTCCGCTCGTGGTATAGCAGACCTGCCTTGTGTGTGGACAGTTGCTGAGTGCATGGATCCCTGGAGCTCCTGCATCTACAACCAGAGGCCACCTGCTGAGCTTGTCTCAGATTACATCCTGCAGAGGCAGTCTGCAAACAGGGGAGAGCCAGCAGCTGCGTGTCATGGTGGCCAGGGCCCAGTGGTGAAAGGCATAACCCCCCCGTGTACCTGGCTTAATGGACTGCACTGGGGGTTCACAGTGACATCTGCACAGAAGTCATAGCCATAGTTCATGGGTTTTCTTTGTAGCCAACCAGTAGAAGAAAACCCTGCCTGCCTGCAGAGCAGTACCCCTCACATTTTTCTGCCTCATAGAGTATGGTCCATAGAGCCAACAGCTGATTGGGAAGGATGCAGTTTCTTGCTCAGTGGCTGGCGTTGCCCTGCCAGTCTTAGGACATAACTGTGCTTCCCACTGTGTGATGTGCACAGCCCACTGCAAGCAGACTGTTGGTAATGCGTAAGAAAAGTACATTTCTATCTGCCTCATGTCTGACATCCTTCTGGAGAAGAGGGTGGAAAATCTACTCTTTATTTTAATATTTAATAAAATCTACTCTTTATTATTTTAATAAAAATTTTAATTGATGCTTAATATTAATAGGGCACAGTATGATAATTTGATACATGTATATAATGTGTAATGGTCAAATGAGGATGATTAGCATTTCCCTCTCCTCAAACATTTATCATTTCTACATGTTGGGTACCTTTGGCCTCTTCTGGTTATTTTGAAGCGCTTCATAAACTGTTGACTATAGTTACCTTACTGTACCATAGAACACTAGATGTAATTCCTGCTATCCAGCTGCCTTTTTAACAATGCATATTTATAACCCACATTAGGTGAGCTGTATTGAGCTTCCTGCTTCTGCAGAAAGGCCCTTCATAGCATGCTGATGCTCCCCAAATGCCCATGTACAAATTCAGTTCCAGGAACCTAAAGAACATACGAACTTTACTAAAGCATTTCTTCCAAAAACCTAACTGTGTTGAGGGAATTTCTGTTCTTTCATTCTTGAGCTTCTCTTATCTTCAGTTTCCTTGGTGGTTTGTGGGACAGACTCCAGTCCACCCACTGGAAGTCCTCATTCCTGATGGTCAGCTGCCCGGTGCTGTGAACCAGTCCTTCTCACCCCTGGCTCCCTGGGGACAACAAGGCACAGGGTGGGTTTTCCAGGAGCAGAGGAAGCGCCATCTTGGGTGGGGGGCCTTGCAGGTGGTCCTGGACACAGGGGTGCAGGGCATTTTCAGGGAACATGTTTATTACCTCCATTGTGAGCAGAAAATAGTTCCAAAGAAGCAATCCTTGTAAGTTGCCTCAGCACTAGGGGGGATGTCAAGTCCCCAGTAACCTTAGTGGTTTCTTTTACTCACAGTACGTTTGTGCATTTGGCCCTCACTATTTACAGGTTTCTCATCCAATGATTCAGCCAAGGGCAGACTGCAAATGTTTGGAAAACATTTGTGTCTGAACTGAGCACATACAAACTTTTTTCCTTGTGATTTTCCCTAAACCATTTAGTGAAACAAGTATTTTACACAGCATTTACATGTATTAGAGATCGTATATAATCTAGAGATGATTTAGGGCTTAAGTGTGTGTGCAGGCAACAGTCAAATACCATGCCTATGGGGAGTTGAGAATCCAGTGCTTTTTTTTGGTACTGGGGATTGAACTCAGGACCCTGCCCTTGCGCTTTCGAGGCTGGCGACGGAACCACTGAGCTAAATCCCCGGGCCCCAGTGCTTTTGGTATCCTTGTGGGTCAGGGAAACAACCCCTGGTAGCTACTGAGGGGCCATTGTATTTACTTCTGTGCTTTTCATACCTTTGTATATTAATTCTGTGTTCATACTTTTATCTTCTTTTTTCTTAATACCCTCCAAATTGTGGAAATTCCCAGCATCGCACATCCTGGAAAAGCTCATATAAAAATGTTTTGCTGCTTTTCTCTTTCTCTTTCCCTTATTCTTAACAAATGCCTGAGTGGAATGGTGGCAGATTCCAGATGATGCTTCAGGTGGAAAGCCTTACCATGATCTTGTGCCTTGGCTGTTACAGGTCACCCACAACTGGACGGTACTTTTAAATCCAAGAAGAAGTGAGCACTTGGAGGTGAGCAGGACCTTTACGATACTGAGCAGGTGGGTTCTGCAGGAAAGGAGGTCCGAGCGCATGCGGTGTCTGGGACATGCTTCTTGTTTCAGTCTCTTTTCTGTGGTGTAATGGGACATCCAGGGCCCGTTGATTTATGGAGATTAGAAGTTTATTTGGCCTACAGTTCTGGAGGGTGGGAAGCCCATGAGCATGTTGCAACCTCTGCCCAGCATCTGGTGAGGCTTCATATGACATCAGGGAACAGCAGAGGGGACCGCATAGAGAGACAGAGCACAGACACCAGCTCCTCTCCCTTCCTCCTCTCATAGACACCAGTGCCACGGTGGAGGCCCCGCTATGACCTTCCCAAAGGGTCCTCCTCCAAATGCCATCAACATATGAATTTAGGAGAGAACAAGCTTTTTAGGGGACACAGTCAAATCATAGCATTCACCTACACAAGCCTGACTTAGAGGATGCCAAACTGCGGCACAAGAAGAGCCCGAGGAACGACAGGGCTAGGAGAAGGCACGCAGGCAGTGTAGACGCGAGCACAAGCGCTGTGGAATGCACCATTGCTCTCTCGGTCAGGACACAGAGGACGGGCGTCAGGGTCCGCTTTGCAGCAAAAGGTGTTTTGACTTAATGTTCTGATTTCATTAACATCTGAAGACATACAGTGGGGAATTCTAGAAAGCTTTAGGGTTCTTTCGCTTTGTAAGCAATGCGACTCCAAATTCAGCCTGTATTCTTGGTTCCTGTGAGTCAGCTAGGTCTGACAGGCCAAAGTGCACAGACTGGGGGAATGAAACATCAGGCATTTCTTTGCTCAAGTCCCACAGGCTAAAAACCCAAGAGCAAGGTGTCAGAGGTCTAGTTTCTTCTGAAGACTCCTCCTGGCATCTAGGTGGTCGCCTTCCTGCAGTGTCTTCCCTGAGTGTGTCTGAGTCTTATCTCTTCTTATACAGACACTGTCTCTTCCCTGATAGCTTCATTTAACCGTTATCGCCTCTTTAAGGGCGCTGCCTGTAAATTCAGTCACATTCTGAGTACTGGGGTGAGAACTTCAGAACAGGAGTTTTGCCGGGACACGAGTAGGCTCGCAGGTTGCTGACTGACCTTTAGGGAAGCACTTCAGTTTTAGTGTGCCATAAACTTTTGAGTATTCACAGACTTCTCGTTTGTGGTGCTTTCCCCCCATGACCACTGACTGAGGTCTACATAGTTGACTTTGCTATTTGTTAGCAGGTAAAGCAGTCGGTATGTTGGTGAGGTGGACGAGAGGAAATTAGTGGTTAAAATCAGCTGTGAACAAGAGGTTGCTACCTCTCGTTCAGTATGGAGCGGTGCCTGAGGGAGGTGGACGCTGGGGGTGGTGGCTGGGAAGCTGGCACTGACGGCCTTGTTGGTCCTGGAAAGCTGTGTTCTGCATCAGGGTCTGAATCACCCCGAGGTCCCTTCGGGCTCTGGGGATGGCCGTGGCTGACTTGGGCTGGGGAGGACACGAAGGGAAGAATACTAGTGCTTGACCCAGGACTTGTCTCCCTGACCAGTGGTGAGACCTGTGCCCCATTTTTCAGAGAAGCTGTTTCCATCCGGGTCCGGACCTCCTTCCCACAGACCCGGGTCGTTCCGCTCTTGCTGTCTCTCCAGTACCTCCGCATCAGCTTCGAGGCGCAGGTGACCATGGCAGCGGCCATCCTTGCGGGGGTCTACACGCTGATTATATTTGAGGTAATGCTGTGCTGCTCTCCGTCATCTCTCAGTGCCCATGCTCAGGATATTTTCACCTGGTTTTGTCAGCGTTGCTCTAGCCGCACCTTATCGATTTCGATCTGTTGTATGTTAGTTATACCTAGTTTTCTGTTTTTCAAGCTTTCCTCGAGACTTCCTCTTTGACTCATAGAATATTTAAACATGTTATTTGACTTCCAAATGTTGACAATTTTTCTGTCATCTTTCTGTTGTAGAATCATAGTTTGAATCACTTATGGGCAGAGAATTTATTCTATATTCAATTCTTTGAATTTATTAATTTTTAATGGTTTTGTCTTGGTGAATATTCCATGGGCTTAAAATAATATGTTTGTCTGTTTTGGTAACTTGAAAATGCAAAAGCTATGTATTTACAAGCAACAGTTTGTGAACCCCCAGCAATGCCCCTACTCGGGACTGTGTCTTGGGACAGAAGATGGATATGGTCGCAGGGGTGTTAAGAGATTAGATGCTCTACCTGTGTTTCAGTGATTCCTGTGCTTCCAGAGCCCCGTAGGGGACTGGGAAGGTCCGAGTTCTGGTAGCACTAGTTAGTGCCACTGGTCCTGTGGGGTTTCTGGAAATGGGGCCAACATTTCACCCTTTCTAGTTCTTCTACTCGAGGGAAGAATTGCCTTGGGTGAGGACTCAGAAGTTCTCCTCAGTCTCGGGCAGAGATATTTCCCTAGAATAAGAGGTCCCGAAATTCTGCAGGGGCACCCTCAGGCTGTCTGTCCCCTACTTTACTCAGAGGAACCAGTCTCAGGGTGACCTGCAGACATATCCCCCCACTTTCCCTGTCTGCTGTTGTCAGTGGCTCCCCAGGCCGGCATCATTCCTGTCTCCAGCTGTGACCTCTGCCTAACCCTGCCTCACCGGCTCTGTTAATGATTCTCTCTTACTTATGCAGGTTGCTCAGGCCCGAACAGCGCCTGCCGCAGAGCAGAGCGGGTGCTTCATGAATGTGGATTAAATAAGGTGTTCCCAGGTGATGAGATCTTCTGGGATTGGTCTAACCTAGCTCCTGGGCAGGGGAGGGCCCCCTGTGCCCCGCCTTTGTGTCCCATTGATTATGTGACTGAGCAGGGAAGAAGGCTGAGCTGTTTCCCTTAGCCCTTTAGTGCCTTGATGGGAGGAAAGTATTTCAGAAAATTCCTTAGGTTGTTTCTACTTCTGGTCCTGCAGATAATCCTGAGCAGTACTTCCTTGGAGTCATACTTCTTTCTCATCCTTGTGAAATAGTTTTTATTGAAAGGCCCAAAGGACAAAATTGGAGCAATCCTCTAACTCTTGCACTTTGCATCTATAACAGAGCTTCATATTTCCCAGTGCAGCATTCTGAAAATTCCATTATCACAGCTAAGGCTTCTAAGCCTCTCAGTGTATCAAGTCCTACTAAAACCCTTCTAACACAGTCTTAATGAAAAATACTTTGCAGCATAAAGGAGATAATGCTCTTCTCCCATGTGTCCTTCACCTGGCCCTGGATTGTGTAAGAAGGATTGGCATCATTCAAAGGCTCCTTTCTGCTGGAAAGACTAAGGTTCTTTTCCCCCTTCGCCCGCCTCATCTAATTGAGTCAGCATGATGCAGCATTTGTGTAGGATCATGTTTCATTGCTCTGGATCCTTGTGTGTATAATTTAGGAGTTCATATAGTGCTTGGTTTAAAAATTAAATGTGAAATTAAATTCAAGAGAGATGAACGGAGAACATCTTTAGTCTTCCAGGGAGTCTCCACTTTAATTTATGGAAATCAGAAGCCTGCTTGGGGAGAGGGAAGATGCTGCATTTCAGAATGCAGTGCACATGTCACAGTGGTATTTTCCACCAGAGACCTCCAAGTTCGGTTTTCCTGGTTTTTATTCTTCGTAGTTTGCAAGGCTAAAAATTTAAATTACAGCTGGGGCCAATGGCCAATTCATTTCATTTTGTCTGTAAGCCTCTTCTTACAACTGATTCATGGAATAGCTACTACCATAGCATTCAAAATCTTTCTGTTACTTTCAGAGCTATGTTTCCTTTTCTTCTTTGAAAATGACTTTAGGACTGCAGGAAGTGGGGGCTCTTGCAACATACCCCCTTCCTCAACAGACAAATATCCCGATTACAAAGACACAGTTTGCAGTCCAAGGAGTGAGATGGGACACAGGCTTCCTGGGCCCACGGTTTTGTCTGACAAGTTCACAATCCAGTATTTCAAGGTTTCTCAAAGTCGGAAGCCACATACTTCCTTAGAAAAATGGCAAGTGTTTTGCAGAGTGGTCTTGAAGGAAGTGAAATCTTCCTGGAGCTGCAGTCCTTAGCTGGTTGTGAACATGCAGGCAGTGAGTTAGGACCCGCTGTTTGACCAATAAGAGGTGGGCAGGGACAAAGGAAGCTGGTGTAGAACGGGAAGAACATCCACAGGAGACGTCAGGGCTGTGACTTGAAAGCAATGATGACAATGTTGACACCGAGAGGAGGAGCAAATGTTTTTCTGAGCGGTCTACATGTTAAAAACCCTGGAGGTGGGCTTTGCTGTCTTCTCTTGCTCAGAGGAGGACACTGCAGCACAGAGAGGCCAAATCCTTCCCGACAGCCCGGCTTCTAAGGGCAGAGCTGAGTGTGACCCTCAGCGCTTGCCAGTGGAGCTTATGCTTCTCCCCAGGCTACCGTGCTTCTCACAGAGCTGGGAGCAGCGCGAGGGTGAGCACGTGCTGTTAGCTCCTCGAGTGCTGGCTCACTTAATTCTGAACAGGTGCAGTGGGTTGCATAACACAACCCTGAGAAGTCCACGTCGTAATTTCCAGATCTTCTGCGTATGTGATCAGAGAAAGTTCATAGATGATTACGTTGAGGACTTTGAGGTTGTGGATGACCTGGGTGGGCCCCATGGGTTCTGAAAAGTCAAGGTGGAGAACCTTGCCCCGCCTTGAGCAGAGGGCGCCGTGCCTGACCATGGAATAGTGTTCCGGAGGAACCATGTGAGCGCCACACCGCCTCCCGTGGCTTTGAAGGTGGGAGAGGGCAGCCCTGGGTGTGGAATGGGGGTGGCCTTAGCCAGCGGGCAAGGCGAGGACGTGGTTTCTCCCGCCAGTCTGCTGAGGATCTCCCTGTGACACTCGGATTTAGCGCCCAGGACCCGTGTTCTGACCTCCACGGCCGTAAGAGAGTAGGTTTATGGGACCTGTGGCAACAGCCCTGGGAGACTAATGCGGAGGAGGGGGAAGAGTGGGGAGGACAGCACTGAGGACAGCGCTCGAGGGGGCCTGTGCCGAGTTCGGGTTCAGCCACGCAGGCTCTTCCCTGACATCAGCCTCCTGGGGAGGGAAGCGCAGCCACCGCGGACGGACGGGGGGGAAGGAAGGCACCAGCCCAGCTGCTTCCCGCACGCTTAGGCCCCGCGAGGCCATGTGGCGACTTCTGCATAGCTGTTCTCACCAGCTCTGCTCGGCCGTGTTTGTTGGGGCCCCGGGAAGTCAGTGGGGTGAATGTTGTTCTCTCAGCCACCATCTCTGCGGTTTGAGCCCGGAGGGGGCGCAGTGCGGTGAGTCCGCGCAGCCTGGCACTGTGGCATGCCTTCCTTCCGGGTTCCTCCCGAGGAGTCTTGGAAGGGGACCCCAGCTTTCAGGGTGGGCGCCCCCTGGAGAAGGGTGATGAACCTGAGCACGCGACAGACACCGGAGAGGACTGCGACACGCGCGTGTCTGATTCACCAGATCTCCCGCCCCGTTGGACCCTGGAGCCCTGTGTTGGGCTAAGATTGCCAGTGTCCGCGTTTCACACTTCTCCCATGGCCGCTGCCTGCCGCGTGAGGCGAGACCCAGCGCAGCAACGGCGGAAGCGAGGTTCAGCCTGGCCAGCCGGGATGGTGCCAGGCCGAGGCCCTAGCAGGGTCAGAGGTCAGGCAGGAGCCTCATCTCTGGGGTTCACTCCAGGCGTGAGGAGCTGACTGAGGGAAGGTGAGGGCTCCCAGCCCTGATCCTTAGCGAACAACCAAGCTCGGTCAGCAGGGGGCGTTTGACAATGTTCCTTTTCTTTCTTCTCCTCCTGCCTCTCCACTTACTGATACAAGGCCACATCTCATAGCTGCCACTCTGCAGTGCTTGTTTATACAGCAGAATAATTAGCAGTCCTTTTCATCCTTGGCTAGATCACAGGCCTTGCTATGAAAGTGGGACTGTTTCACCGCCTTTGAAATCTACTCTGTGACACATCGGTGAAAGTGATTCCCCGTGATAGCGGAGGACCTGTGCTGAGTGGGCTTGGTACCTTTCAGAGTTGGGGAATCTACATTTTCCTAAGAACTTACTAAACTTTTGAAACAACTTTTCCAGCATATTTTGTAAAGATAAGTTAAAAAGGTCTTGCATCCTGTGAAGGTCATTTTTGTGAGCACCACTGAGAATGTTGGTATTTCAGGATTGATTTTGGGGTCATTTTGGGTTTTTGTATTGAAGTAACAGCAATAATATAAGGGAAAATTGTAGCTCATAAGCTGTCTGTAAAGTGATTTAAAACTTCTGAGAGGAATACATTTATTTATAGATTTCATGAAATTTAATATAGTGTTTTAATTTGTTATCTTTATGGAAGCTTTCATTGATTTTTTTTTTTTTTTTGGTACTGGGGATTGAACTCGGTCCTTGCACTTGTGCAGCAGGGGGAAAAACCACTGAGCTAAATCCCCGGCCCAGCTTTCATTGATTTTAATGTTAAGTGCATTAAGAACCACTTTTGATCAGTTGGAGAATTCCATGCTATGCCTTTCCACAATAGAATCAAAGAGACACCTGCATACTCATGTTTATCGCAGCATTGACAATAGCCAAGAAAGGGAAACAAGCTATGTGCCCATCAGCTGATGAATGGATTAAAAGGAAAAGGTGGTACACAGACACAATGAAATAGTAGTCAGCCGTAGTGCAAAATATTAACCCCTCAAAAATGAATGACTTGATCAAAAAAAATGGGCAGTTCTAAAAATAGGCACTTTTC